TTTCTAGGTAAAGCAAGTCACAATTCCAAATTAATGGATCCAACACTGCACCCCTCGTGAAAGCATCACTCCCTCGGGAGACAAGACTTCTAAAGTACTAGAGCTCATGGTTTCACTTACGGTAAGCAAAGATTTAGNTGGTGTTTTAGTTTTTGTGGCTATTTTAAATAGGGCTTTTTCTTGATTTCTTTTTCAGCTAGTTTCTTGTTAGTGTACAGAAATGCTATTGACTTTTGTATGTTTATTTTGTGCCCTACAACTTTACTGAATTCTTTTACCAGTTTTAAAGGTTTTTGGTGGATTCTTCAGAATTTTCTCTATGTAAGACCATATCACCTGGAAACAGGGACAAATTGATTATCTCCTTTCTAATCCAGATGCCCTTTATTTTATTCCCTGGCCTAATGGGTCTGGCTAGAACTTCTGGTTTTATGTTGAATGAGTGATGAATACTGGCATACGTGACTTGGTCCAGTTCTTAAAGAAAACATATTCAAGTTTTCCATGTTCAGTATAATATATGCTGTGGGTTTTTTAATTATAGTCATTACTGTATTGAGGTATGTTCCTTGTATGCCTAATTTGTTGAGAGCTTTTTATCATGAAGTATTGTCAATTTTTTTCAAATGCTTTTCCTGCTTTTTCTGATATGATCAAATGGGGTTTGTTTTTCATTCTGTTGATGTGATGCATCACGTATCATGGTTATTAATTTGCATAGGTTGACCTATCCCTGAATAAATCTTACTAGATCATGGTGTGTGATGTTAGATTTGAATTCTACTACTGTGTTAAGTGGTTTTCATCTATGCTTATCAGGGATACTTGCTTACAGTTTTCTTTTCTTTTTTGGCATTTTACATTTTTAAAATTTGTTTCAATAAGTTTCTAAAATTTTCTTCTTAATTTCTTCATTGACTCATTAGCATATTTCTCAATTTCCATATATTTGTGCAGTTTTTAATGATCCTCTTATTATTGATTTCTACTTTTATTTCATTGTGGTGTTCTGAAAACATACTTTTGATATGATGTTGATTGTTTAAAATTTGGTGAGGCTTGTCTTGTGGCCAAACATATTATTTGCCCCTGAGAATATTGCACATGCTCACACAAAGAATGTGTATTCTGCAACTTTAAGATGAAATGTTCTATAAATGTCCACTAGGTCCATTTCATGGAAAAATTAGTATAAGACCTTGTTTGTTGATTTTCTAACTAACTAATCTCTCTAATGCTGAGAATGGGGTGTTGAATTTCCCAACTATTTTATATTGGGGGGTTCTCTCTCTCCCTTTACATCAAATAAAATGTGCCATATATATCTGACTGTTCCAGTTTTGGTTGCATATATATGTATTATTATTAAATCCTCTTGCTGAATTCATCCTTTTGTCATTACATAATGAAGGCATTTGTCTCTCTATACATTTCTTTCTGTAGTCTGTTTTACCTAATACAAGTGTAACTAATACTGCTCATTTTTGGAGTTTGTTCCCATGGAATATGTTTTTCCATCCCTTCAGTTTGAATCTTTGTGTGTCTTTACAGGTGAGATGAGTTTCTTATAGGGATTATGTAGGTGGGTACTATTATTTTAATCCATTCCACAAGTGTTCATGTTTTCATTAGAGAATTTAAACCATTTATATTTAAGGTTATGATTGATATGTAAGGATTACTCCTGTCATTTTGTTTATTGTTTTCTGGTAGTTTTTGTATATCTTTTGTTCCTTTCTTCTTCTCTTGTTTATCTTTGTGGTAGGATAGTTTTCTACAGTGAAAATTTGGATTAATTTTTCTTTCTCATTTGTGTATGTGCTCCATGAGTGAGTTTTATGCTTTTGTGTGTTATGCTGTGGACATGAGGTGGGTGGGTCCCAAGTCCTGAATAGTGTGTGTTTGTTGAAGAGCATGGTCCTGGGGGAAGGCCAGTCACTGCACTGGTACATCTGCACCTTGGGTATGAGGTGGTGCTGTGTTGACTCCTATGCAAGAGTCATGACTCTATCATTGGATTGAGATGGTTTCATGGCTTTGCAGGCTTCTGGTGGGTATAGTGTAATAATGGAGATGCATGGGGTTATTGTTTCCCAGGGCAGGATGCTGTCTCAAAGTAGATACCCTCTCAAAATGATGTTATGATTTAGCATTCTAGGTCCAGGTGTTTGTGTGGGACCTGATGTGAGTTCCCTATCTCATACAATAACAGTCCTAATTGAGCTCATTCATGTTGATGCAATGACTTAGCAATTCTGTCAATATTAAAGCTTCCAAGATGATACCATTTGTTTCTTAGGTGACTTGGTGCTGACTGTCACCTGGGGTGATTCAATATTTTCCCAAGAATTCTCTCATTCTCCAGTAGGGTACAATGTCTTCCTTGTGTGCTGATCTCAGAGCAACATTTGAAGAGAGTAAAAGTAAAAGCCATAAATCATCTTAGTGCCTCAACTCTAGAATCCACACATCACTTCTACCATATTTTCTAGGTCAAGCAAGTCACAATTCCAACTTAATGGATCCAACACTGCACCCCTCAGGAGGGGTGAAAGCATCACTCCCTCAGGAGACAAGACTTCTAAAGTACTAGAGCTCATGGTTTCACTATGGTAAGCAAAGATTTAGTCAGTGCACCACTAAGGAAGGGTGACAGGTAGAAGAGTCACTCCCATTTGTAGTTTATACCCATACATCCTTGGACTCATAAAAATAATCAATGGAGAAACAGTTCTACATATTTGTTGCAGAATTAGAGCATATAACACCTCCTGGAGGTTATTACTCCATCCATGTAAAGTATTGCCACAGAGACCATGTTATAAGTTTCAAAATGTTATCCCAATATTCCAAGCATACTTTTTGAATTTCTAATATTGGAAGAATTTTTGTTCACCTTATTACCGGGATTCCCCAGAGCAGGATTATAGTGCTACAGCTAGACACTATTTGGTGGGGTCATCAAATAAAGGAAAACAATCTGAAAATAAGGTCTCAGTGCTTTCATCCATATGTAAGTTGTTTTAGGAAATACCCCATGAGGCTACAAGATCAGGCTGAGAAGCATGAAACAATATAAAAAGAGAATGAACCATGGGCATTTGTAATTACTCATAAGATTTATTTGTGTCTTCAGGAATAACAGTGCTGGTGACTGCTGTGCATGCCAAATTTTATAGATTCATAGAATAGATAATACCCTGTTCATTATGGGAAGTGTAGGTTGCATGATAACTTAGTGGCTTATTTTCAATGATCCAGTTTCTACTGAGGTCCATTTAAAAGTGAGAAACTTTTCTCAGTTGGTGAAGAGTTGTCTGCAGAGGAAGTTATTTACTTGCTTTAAAATCCTAAAGGTCTGATCTGTAATTCACTGTAGGGGCATAATGTAAGTTCTGAACAACCAATATTTGCAAATACTCTTCAAGACCAATCATAAGTGCTGGGTCATATGTCCCTAATAGCACAGTTGCATGGCAGATAGGACTTTTATATAGATTTCACTTGTCTTGGACCCCAATCAAAAAGGACATTTTTGTGGGAAATTCTGCAAATATGTAAGTGGCTTAAAACTACTATATATAGCCTCCAAAATTCAAAGAGGATCACTAAATTTCAGAATAGACAAGGCAGTATTTGATTTTTATTCTAGTTTTATTAATTGCAGAGGGCATTTTAATTATGTGCAGGCAAAGCACAATAGTCAACATTATGCAACATTTTTTCGGTGTAATTTCAAGGGGAGTCTAGTTATTATACATGTACAAGAGACCTAGCATTTGCCTTAATTACCTGTTTTGGTGCCTCTGAAGAATTAGTTGCTTGTGAATCTCCAGAGCTTGACTCCCCAGGGCTATAGACTTACATGTAAAGAGTTGGTGCTCCTGTTATACTGAGTTAACAGAGAACCAGCAGGGTGGTGGCCTGTTTCTCTGTAGCAGGTAAGTTTATTCAGGTTTTCTATGAGATATACAACAGTGTTTTCCTGATATGGTCTTTGAATAATTTTTTATTTTTATGTCATTGTAAATGTCATCCAATTCTGAACTTAATTGAAGAAAGAAGTTAACACTCGTGGAAATTCTTGGATTCAGGTCCACTGGCAACCATTTCATAAAGAACAGCGTACGTTTGCTACCTGGAAATGGAAACTTACTCATATTGTCTTTACATGCACTTTACATTGTTAAATAAACTATTACTGGAAAGAAAACTAGTTAGTCTTGAGAGATATCTTACCTTATATGTCTTTGGACACTTACAAAATATCTATGTGATCCTGTATTGTAGTAAAATCTATCCCTTAGACCATAATCCCTAAAAAATTGCCCTGTCCACTCAGGTCAAAAGTAAGCCATGTCCTCCTCAAACTCTCAGTCACTAAGACATTCTATGAGAGAAGGGTTATTTTTTTTTTAACTGAATAAAAGTTGGTAAAATGGAATTGCTATGCCTTTTTCTATATTTCTCTTATAACGTATTTTATACTTATAATTGAAACATGTTATCTTAAACATTTTAGTTGATTTGCGTAATCAGTATATAGGCAAAATCCAGGAGCGATGTTGTTCTCTGAGTTGAATATTTCACACTATTTTTCAGATAATCTTCACTAGTGTATGTATTTATGCACACACTGTGTATCAGTTATGTTCATGCTACAACACTAGCTAATGTGTGGAAGTACACATTGCAATGTAATAAGTATTCGACACTAGCTTGTGTGTGGAAGTACACATTGCAATGTAATAAGTATTTTTAATAGAAACAGAGTGCAATGGAAATGCAAAGACATTTCAAATACTCAGCACTGTTTGGTATATATGCAGCAGCGATCTGCATGAGGCAAGTTCTTCATGGAGAAACCTAGGACCAATATTCTTTTTTCTCATTTACTTTCCTGTACCATACAAAGTCATGACAATTTTCACGCATCCCCATAAATCTTCTCTTTGGCAGGGATAACTCTTTGCAAACACACCATTGCATTAAAAAGAATTATGGTGAGGGCAGCAAGGAATCTGAGTGTGGAGACGACCTTTGCCCTCTTAGGTTTCACAGATTACCCAGAACTTCAGATTCCTCTCTTCCTTGTGTTTCTGATCATGTATGTTATCACTGTGGTAGGAAACGTTGGAATGATAGTCCTAATCAAAATTGACCCCAAGCTCCACACCCCCATGTACTTCTTCCTCAGTCATCTTTCTTTTGTTGATTTGTGTTACTCTTCAATCATCACTCCCAAGCTGCTTGAGAGCCTGGTCATGGCAGATCAGAGCATCTTGTACTTGAGCTGCATGTTGCAGTATTTCCTCTCCTGCACAGCTGTAGTGACCGAGTCCTTCCTGCTGGCGGTGATGGCCTATGATCGCTTCGTGGCCATCTGTAATCCTCTGCTTTACACAGTTGCCATGCCACAGAGGCTCTGTGACCTTCTGGTGGCAGGGTCATATCTTTGGGGTATGACTGGCCCCTTGGTACTCCTTTGCTATGCTCTCCATCTAAACTTTTCTGGACACAATGTGATCAACCACTTTTTCTGTAAGTACACTGCTCTCATCGCTGTGTCCAGCTCTGATGTTCACATCCCCCACCTGCTGCTTTTTGCCTTTGCCACCTTCAATGAGGTGAGTACACTGCTGGTCATCCTCACATCCTATGTTTTCATTCTCATGACTGTACTAAAAATCCTTTCTGCCAGTGGACGTCACAAAGCCTTCTCCACCTGTGCCTCCCACCTGACCATCATCACCATCTTCCACGGGACCATCCTTTCCCTTTACTGCATGCCCAATTCCAAAAACTCTCAACAAATGGTCAAAGTGGCCTCCATATTTTATACAGTCGTCAATCCCATGCTGAACCCTCTGATCTACAGTCTAAGGAATAAAGATGTGAAGGATGCCTTTAGGAAATTAATGGACAGAAAAGTCCCATTTCATTGATCCAATTTCCAGAGATGTTTCAGTCTTAATGAACAACTGGACCAGAGTCTAAAATGTTTCTAAAACTTACAGATGTATTTGTATGAGGTTTTCATAGATGATTGAGTAGCATGAGATTTAAATCCCTTGAAGTTCTCAAGGAAGACAATTCTGAGATGAATTCTACAAGATTTGCATCCATTAAATATTATTTTCTCCAATTCTTGAACACAAACACAAAAATATAACAAAGCACAATAGATTACTCAATGTGGAGAATAAAGTGACTGAGAGAATGCTGTTATTTCTAAATTGAATGGATTTTCTGATCTAATTTGTATACAAATGAGTACCTTGCCTTTAAAGTTGTTTTTGTTGTGTGTCACTGAAGCACTGTGTCTTTGTTGGCAGATACAGGTGGATATGCTATGCAATGAAAGGGCTGTAATTATTTTCTGACATCTGCATCTCTTAGAGTTTGTGATTTCTATAAGTAGAAAGCCTTGCACTTAAAACAGCTCATGTCGAGAATTAATTAAGACAAGTATAATCATATCTGCTACACATATGATGACAGAGATGTTAGGAGAGATAGCCTGGAAATGACTGATTTAAGACAGACTTAACTCTTTCCATTCCAAATCCAGTGCATTTTCTCCACAATGCTGCTGCAGAAATAAGTATGAGATGTCATACAGATCAATTTTGTCCTCCAGAAAGGACAGCCCTGGAGTCATTTCAATATTCCTATATTATGCTTTTACATTATTACTCAACACTTGGATTCCCAGTATTATCAGGTGTCTAACCCTCTCCAAGTTGTCTTCTAGTCTAATCCATACAGAATGTATGTGGATACTGTGGAAAAAGATTTCAAAACTTCTTCATTAATGTTTATGTAAATGACTAAACAAACACAAATATCTGGTAGCAAACACCCCAGAAATTAAAGCAAAAATTGAATAAGAATCTAACCATACAGAATGTAAAAAAAAATAATAATATAATAAGTTTCAGTTATTAAAATGTGTCATATAGGGACAAATAGATAACCACATATGAAAAAATTTAAAAAATATATATTTGTTTTTCATACAGCAAAACAGTGTACTAAAAGCAGGTTTAAATTAAGGTTACATGACTATAAAAAAACTATACTAGTATGATATAATCCAGAAATAAACAAACGAACAATAAGAGAGATAGAGAGAAAGAAAGAAACAACAATCACAACGGTACATTGAACTTCTAGAAAACCAGAGGTGGAAAAGGGAAGGGAGAGACAGAGGCAGGGGGGCTAATGAGGAACCGATCAACAGACACAAAGAATGATTGTGCGTTGTAATGATGAATAAGTTAACTATGCTGATCTAACCACCACACATTTTGCACAATTATTGAAAACCAATGTTATACCACACATGTATGTATAGTAAAAAATAATTAAACAAAACCTTTTTGCAAAAACTACAGATAAGAAGTTAAAATGGCAAATGAAAAACTGAGGAATAGTTCTGGCTTTTGTCACATATAGTAGAGGTGAAAATGACAATACTGTAGAAAAATATGCATGTGATATAATTACATATGCTAGTTAATGGAATATCAATAGCCTGAAACATCTGAAGAGTTGTTCAGCCTGACCCCGAAGAGCAGAAACACTAATTACAACTGCTTTGAACTATCATTTCTCATCCTTTGGTGTGGCAGAAATCTAAAAGTTTATTACACATCCTGTAAGTGAAGCTGTGGGGAAACAGCATTTTTATACATTTTGAGCAGGAATATAACAAGTTATAGTACCTATCGTAGGAGATTAGGAGTACTAGTGACATTACATATCATATGTATCCTCATTCAAAGCATTCACAGTTCTAGGAATCTATCTCCAAGGTACAGTAGCAAAAATATGAAAAAAAACAACAGAACCATAAGAATTATTTATAGTAACAACAGAGTGTTTAAAGTGTAATATGGAGGTGATTGAATAAAAACATGGAAGTACACAACTGCAAAAATATAAAAAGGAAGGAACTTATATATTGGTACAGATTCTCTCCCAGAATATTCTTAAATGAATAAAGACAAGACTTAGAAAATATTTTTATAGTATGATAAAATGCATGAAAGAAGAGACAAAAGTAAACCAAAAGCTAATAAAGGTAAGAAGAAATGAAATAGAACTTCAAATTAATAATAATGAAATAATTACTTAAATGTGACTGAAGCCAAGGTTGTTAGCATATGAGAAAAGGGCTAAAGTTCTAAAGTAATGGAAGGTAAATAATTTTTTTTCATCTTAATTAGTATTAGAAATTCAGTTTGATACAATATTTTTCTTTGAAACAATTACCACTAAAAATTATAACTCGGTAGCAATAAACATTCCTGTTTTTCAAATTTCCTTAAAATGAAAAACTTATGTCCTTCAAACAGAACTAGGGCTTCTTGGAGAAATGGCAAATTTGATGTTTAAGACTGAAAATATATAAGATTAGCCTTGGGAAGTTTAATTTTCACAAAAGCGAGAATGTTATCAGCAGCCAGTCAAATCATCTGAAATAGGACTAGGAGGCAATTTGAAGTGGCTCCCACTGGCTTATGGTTAGAAGATTTTAACATAATAATGAATATTGACTGCTATTATTTTAAATTCATCAAATATGTTTAAATCTAGATTATGAAAAAGAAAATAATAATAAACCATTGCCTACTATTAAAGGCTTCTTGGCTATTAACTCAGTAGTCTGAACATTGTAAATGAAAGGAAACAAATATTTGTTTTATATTTCCTCTATGAATTGTATTTCAGGGTCACCTAACAGTTAGAGAGAGGAAGTTCTGATGAACTAAAAACAGGAAAAATAATGAATTAGAAATTCACAATTTTAGAACTTCTAATTAAAAAAAAAAAGATCGAAGTGTTGATTTAGGTCGGTATTAAAATCACAGAGTAAAAACTTGGTGGGTAATTTTAAAACAAAATAACGTAGCTCTTGTATGGGGAGTTGTATCCATTTATATTTAATGGTTTTATTGAAAGGTATTGTCTTCCTCCTGGCATTTTATTAATTTTTGTTTAGATGTTTAAAGCATATTTGTTCCTTTGTTCCCCATAAGTGGTTTGTCTTTCAATTTTGTCTTCTTTGAGGTGATAACATAAAGTTTCTTTCTCTTTCTCTTTTGCATTTTTGATCTACACGTGGGTTTTGTTCTTCCTTGTGTATTCGTGGTAGTGATTATCATTTTGGGGATTCCAGATTCAGGACTCCCTTGAGGAGATATTTTAGTGATGGTCACGTGCTGGTGAACTCCTACAGTTTATGTCTGAGAAATACACTATTTCTCCTTCATTTCTGAAAGATAGCCTTGCTGGGTATAGTATTCTTGGCTGTCAATTTTCTTTTTACTTTTAGTTTTTTCAATATAATGCTCCATTTTCTTCTGACCTGTAGAGTTGGTGTTGAGAAGTCTTATTTTAGTCCAATAACACTCCTTTATAGGTGATTTGGTACTTTTCTGTTGCTCTTTTTAAATTCTCTCCTTGTATTTGAGCTTTGTCAATTCGACTATACTGTGGCTCAGGGAGGACATTTTTGGATTGAATCTGTGTGTTGATCTTTAAGCCTCCCAGATGTGAATGACCATATATCTTTCTGTACCTTGGAAGTTTTCCACTGTTATTTCACTGAAAAGGTTGTTAATATTTTCCCTCTCTCCTCCCCTTGTGAACGCCCATGATTCGGAGGTAAAACTGCTATATGATCCAGCAATCACACTGTTGAGTATATACTCAAAGGAATGGAAATCATCATGACAAAGAGATGCCTATAGTCCAATGTTTGTTGCAGTTCTATTTTCAATAGCCAAGAGTTGGAACCAACCTAAACTTCTATTCATGGATGACTAAATACAAAAATGGGGTATACATATATATAATGGAATGGTACTCTGTTATAAAAAATGAATGAAGTTCTGCCATTTGCACCAACATGTATGAACGTGGAAAAAATTATTTTAAATGAGATAAGCCTGGCACAAAAAGGGAAATACCACATTTCTTCACTCATAAGTGAAAAGTAAGAAAAAATAAAAGAAAGAAAGAGAGAGAGAGAAAGAGAGAAAGAAAGAAAGAGAGCAATCTTAATAATTCATTGAATTTTTTAAAGGAAAGAACAGAATTGAGTCCACTAGAGGTGGTATAAAGTGAGGGAAGAGGGGCTTAGTGAGAAATGGGTAAAGTGGTGCTAGAAATGATTACATTGTATAATGATGAGTGTACTATTTATGCTGATTTGAGTATCACATATTGCACATAGCTGTTGACATTCAATGCTATACCCCACAGATGTGTACAATCATGTTTCAATAAATAAACAAATAAACCAAATAATCAACCCAACACTACCCAATCCAAAGATCATTAGAACATCCCTAAAAAGTGAAAACCCAGTTAACATGTGCCCTGCAATGGGATGCAACTGGCATTAGTTCGAACCACCTATGAAAAATTCTGTTCTGAAAGAAACTAAGAAAAATGAGCTGAACTTATAAACACTCTCATTCTTAAAATTAGCTTAAAAGAATTGGTGCAGAAACAACTTAAATGACACCAAATGAAGAAAAAAGCCAAATACAGAAGCAGCAGCATTCTACAAATGGTCCATTTTTTTCTTCAAAAATTATCTGAACACATACACACATGCTTTCACACACAGAACAGTTACATAATAAAGAAAATTATTATGTAACAACCAAATATATATATATATATATATAACAACTAAATTTGTTTGAATCTTGATTCAAACTACCAGGAAGAAAGATGTTTTTAAGACAATTTAGGAAATTTAAACATGGCCTGGGTATTGAATGATTTTAAGAATATATTGGTTTTGGGCTGAGCCCGTGGCACACTCAGGAGAGTGCGGCGCTGGGAGTGCAGCGACGCTCCCACCATGGGTTCGGATCCTACATAGGAATGGCCGGTGTGCTCACTGGCTGAGCGCGGTGTGGGCGAC